AGAGAGAGTCTCACTTTGTTATTTAGGCTGAGTGCAGTGGCATGATCTTGGTTCACTGCAACCTCTGCCTCCCAGGTTCAAGCAATTCCCCTGCCTCAGCCTCCCAAGGAGCTGGGGCTACAGGTGCACACCACCACACCTGTCGAATTTTTGTACTTTTAGTGGAGGCAGGATTGGCCTATCTGATCTTGAACTCCTCACTTCAGATAATCCACCTGCCTCAGCCTCCCAAAGTGCTAGGATTACAGACATGAACAACCACGGCTGGCCCTCTAATGGATTCTTTGTTATTGCATATACTTGAGATGTACAACATGATGTTTTGATGCACAGTTACAATGTAAAGTAATCACTAAGGTCAAGTAAATTAACATCCATCATCTATCATAGTTTTAACTTTCTTTGAGTTTGGTGAGATCACCTAAATGTACCCTCCTAGCAAACTTCATTGCATTATATAACATCATGAGTTCTCATGGTCTCCGTTGTATCTCTACACTCATCTGACATACTAGTTATATATGTTTATATTCTCTAATGAAATTTATGATTTTCTAGAATTAAAAATGCTATTAGCTTTTGACTGAAATCTAATTAGACCTGAAATCTAGTTAAATTTGTTTGAGTAGAACTGAGTACTCAGTAGTTTATAGAATTAAGTCTTCTTTACCAGTAGCACTATATGTCCATCAGCAAATTTTAACCATTTTCTGCACATGATTATCAAATATTTCTTGATAATGTTCAAAGGCATATTATTTTTGTTGCTGTTATGAACAGCTCTGTTGTTTGTTGTTAAGTCTACTAGTCATTGCTGTTATAGGAATGTTAATAATGTACATAAATTCATGTATAGTCCATCTTGTTGGTGTGTTAGCTTATTAGTTGTAAATAATTCTTCAGTTGGTACTCATGAATGATGAGGTTACTGACAGATGAATGGAGTTTCATTTATCTCAATCAGTATCTTGTATTTCCTTAATATTCTTAATGTTAATTGTTTTTTTCAATAAGTAAATATTCTTCTTTGTAAGCAAAGTAGCTCAGGGCTATTGCCACCATAGGAATAACATGATAATATTTTATAGGTTATTATTTAAAATCTACATTTTGTGATTGTGAGCATTCACATTAAATATTTAGTAATTTCACTCTTTAATGCTCTTAAGATTTTTATAGTTTTGAAGAAGAATTAAAAATTTTTGAACTAATTTGGCCTTTGGTTTTTATCATTTGTGGCAGTAGATTAAACTACAGTAGTTAATTACCCAGAATATTTTCTTAAGCTAAAGGCTTAATATGCAAATAAAGCTTTACGTGGTTTGACATCTATCTAGGATATCCCTGACAGAGCTATATATTTAACTTCTTTTATCACACAGTGATATTAAAATACTCTCAAAATGATTAGAAAAAATATTAGCTATCAAACCAACCAGGAGTTTACTAATAATTTAGGTATGTTAATTTATTCAGAGTAGCTATTTAATGTATTACTAATATAGATTGGAACAATCCGATTATTCTTTAAAAGAAAGAGGAAAAATGTTTGTCAGGTAAAATAATCATTTAACTTATTACAGTTATCATCTTTACAGCTCATGGGACATTCAGAATGGGACCACAAACGAGGGCCAAGAGGATCACAGGTAAGTTTCTTTTCCTTTTCTTTTTCATGTTTCGTTTCTTAACACTTTCAGCCATGAGTTTTCTAAAACTCAAGAGATAATAAAATGTAGAGAGAGGAAGATGCAAAATAACCATGCCATTTGTTTTTATTTAAGTTAACTATAATTAAAGTCTGGATTTCAAATCCCAAAGGCAGATGCCAGGATATTCCTCTTAAGAGCTTTCTGGTATCCCAGATTGGTTGTGTTTATATGAATATAGATTTTATATTCATCTTGTCTCTGCAGAATACATTTTGATCAGCAACCCACTCTCTTTATTCTATTCATTTCCTTTGACACTTTTTCCATGTATTTTCTTTTTTTCTTCAGCTTCCTGTTTTTGGTTAAATATTTTGAAATATAATCAGACTAAACTCTGAACTAATTAGAAGATTTTGTCTCTAAATTAACTGTCTTCATCTGAGGGAAACAGAAAGATGAAAGGACCTATTATTTTTGAAAAGAAACAAATTCTAAATCTTTCTATATTGCCAGACTGTTTTCATTGTCTTACTTTATGTCTTAGGCAAGGAGAAAAGCTTCCATGACGCATTTTTGCTTTTTAATGACCTAATTAGACAATGTGGATTTGTTTTGCTTCCATAATTACTTTCCCTGACTGAATAAAGGCTGAGCTTTACACTAAGAAAATTATTTCTCCTCCTAGAGCACTTTGTGAAGAAATATAAAAATAATTTCTCTCACGGCAGCCTATGTTTACCTGACTGCAAACATGCAAAATAAAAATTAAGTGGGTGGAAATGTTTGCTTCTGTTGCACACATTTTGTATTTGCTACTATAAAAATATAATTTACAAAAGACAGTTGAATATGCAATACTGTAAATGAAAGTTCATTGGGAAGTGGGGGATTCTCTCAAGTGTTTTACAAAGCTGATATGTTCTTGTGTTGTCATTAAACTTGTATGAATAACTCTATTTAATTTAGGTCACTAGGAAAATAAAACCAAGTCAATCAATTGTTTTAGTTCACATTTTAATGACTGATTTTATTTCTGTCCATTATCAATTTGATGAGTAAATAGTGTAAACCAATTAAATTAGGATCATCCCAAAGAATGTATGCCTTGCTTTCTTTCCTTCATTCTCACCTCCCTTTCATTTTCTCTGAAAACTCTCCCTCTGGATACATCTATAAAATTTTTAAAAGAATTTGCTGCAAGGTCAGTCATAAAGGGATTAAATTAACATACAGTAAATTCTTTGTGATTCTAAACCAATAAAAAAGTACAGATGAGTGTAGGTAAGAAGGTCCATAGTTTCTGATGATTGCCCCCAAAACATTTTGATATTCAGAATGTCCTGAATATCAAGCAAGTTGTTGAGGACATGTTCTTTCAAAGCAATGCAGTATTATATGTAGACAATTATTGTTTAAAATATATATCATTTACTCTCTCTTTTGCTTACTTTGGTATAATTTATCTTCAGGTTTAGATAGGTCACTATGTCAATATAAACTGACAAAAAAAAAAAAAAACCTCACGATTGTACAGTACTGCTTTTGTTAACTTTCAGCATAAAAAGAACAAAATTTTTAAAATTCCTAATATTGCATATAGCTAGAAAATGTGAGAATTCCACATATAAACATAAACTATTTTTATAAATAAAGTTTGATTATATTTGAAAGCCTAAGGTGGTTCTGAAAAGCAAAAGCTTTAAAATAGGCTTGCGTGAATTACCATTATAAACATCAAATCTTTCTTGGATCTCTTAACCAGCAAAATAGCTACTCTAAATATAGTATACCTTTGTCTCATTTTGATTCCTCAACTCAGATGAAAACTGCCAAATAAAAAGCAAACACAACACACCAAAAGATAAGAACAGTAAGAACCATGACAAAAAACATTAAAAAGAAAGAGGATTTCCAAGGATTTTGGAAATTTCAGGTAGATAAATTACGCCTTAAGTAATACCCTTTTATGTGCTTCCAATTCTCTACTGGCAAAATAACAACAATAATGTGTTATGTTTTGGATCATTGCTCCCTTCTGCTGTTGCTGTTACCTTCTTGGTCAATATGCCTAAAGCCTTCTACCTTTTCAAAGGAAATTTCAGACAGGTTGCACTTGAACACAGACCTCTTAATAGTTTACTCCAAAGCCTTGCTCAAATTCCGTCTAGTTAATTTAGAACTGGTTTCTAAGTAGTTGCTATGTGTATAGCACTGTAGTCGGTCTAACTGAAAAAAACTTGAAAGACAAGGTTATTGCTTTGCAAGAGCTCACAAATTATGGTTGGAAATTAGGGCAATATTCGTATATATAATTCACATATAAGGCAATCTGGTAGATGCAGCATTACATATGATATGTAGTATATGTTGACATATCTGTAAATGACAATATATATGATGGTGATCACATAAGATTATAATACCATGTTTTTACTATGGGTTTTATATGTTTAGATACACAAATATCATTTGTTACAATTGCCTACAGTATTCGGTACAGTAAAATGCTGCACAGATTTATAGCCTAGGGGCAATAGACTATAGCATGTAGCCTAGGTATGTAAAAGGCTACACCATCTGGTTTGTGTAAATATACTCTACGATGTTCCCACAACAAAATCCCCATCAAGTGACATATAGACCGTATATATACATTGGGAGGCCAAGGCAGGCGGATCACCAGCAGTTAGGAGTTCCAGACCAGCCTGTTCAACATGGTGAAACCCTGTCTCTATTAAAAATACAAACTAAAATTAAAAATCATAATAATAATAATTAGCCGGGCATGGTGATGGGTGCCTGTAATCCCAGCTACTCGTTAGGTTGAGGCAGGAGAATTGCTTGAACCAGGGAGGCGTAGGTTGCAGTGAGTCAAGATCACACCACTGCACTCCAGCCTGGGCAACAGAGCAAGACTCCATTAAAAAAAAAAAAAAAGACTTCATATACACAAAGTGAGGTAGGATTTAGGTGGAAGATTATTTCTTTTTCCCTACTAGATTAGGAAATACCTCTGAGAACTGGTGATGTCTGAGATGTGGCTTTAAGGATGGGGAAGCTTTCAAAAGTACAGAGGAAAAGACGGATGAAAAAGCTTTGGTAAATGTCTGCACTGAGAAGAGTGTGGGACACATTTGAATACATGTGAATTTTTTAATTAACTTTTGTATAAACAGTTGTTGGATGGTAATTGCTATAGCAATTACTGTTTGATTTGGAGAATGCTATACTTTATTGACTAGGTAGGCAGAGGAAGTTAGCAGGGTGAAGAGTTTGAAACTGAGTACTATAAGAATTAGGGCTATTAACACAGAACAGTTTAAGTGGAAGAATATGAGTTCAGTGTTACAAGTGTTAAGTGACAAGTGAAGTTGACAATTCCAAAATGAAGTTTCAGATAAACACTCGAAGCCTGAGTAGAACAAAAGGTTTCAGTTTGGGAATGGTAATCATACAGCTGATAATTAAGCTCCACCAGTAGATAGACTCCCAGAAGGATATTAAAAGAAAAAACAGATAAAAGTCTGATTCTTGGAAAATATACTGTAAGGGCTAGAAGCAAGCTGAGAGGGAGTTAATGAGCAGGCATGGTCTTACTAGAGACCAGGTGGAGGAGAAATGATTCAGAACTGAAAGTAGTTACACCAAAGAGAGGAATGAGATCCCAGACCAAGGTTCAAGAAAATAAAACATGTAGCAGATGTCTTTGGGTATAGTGATTAGGAGGACATTAGTGAACTTTGAAAAAGCAGTGTTGAGAAAGAAGTGTTGGAAGGAAGGATGCAGAAGAGAATAGTGTAAGATACCAGAAGGGTCTCTTAAGGGAGCTTTGTTTTAAAAGAAAGTTGAGATTGCAGAAAGATGTGGCAGCAAGAGTGATTTATTTATTTATTCATTTATTGTTACTGCTAAGGTGAGATATGTGTCTTAATTACTGGCAGATGAAAAGCATTAGCATGGGAAAGAAAACACTGAAAATTCTCAATAGTGAGCTGATTAAGAACTGAGGAAAGGGTGCGATTCAGGGAAGGGAAGGTGCTTTCTTCCAAAGTGGTCCTCTTGGCACGTCTTTATGTATATTCCTGTGAGGAAATACCCCACCCCGACCCCATACCAGCCATTTACACTATATTAGAGAAGCTGGCCCTGTTCGAAAATGAATTGCTGGATAAGTCTACCAAAAAGTACAGATGGGGAAGTTTTTTTTTTTTTAAAAGTAGAGGACAGGGGCGGTGGCATATGCCTGTAATTCCAGCACTTTGGGAGGCCGAGGCGAGTAGCACCTGAGATCAGGAGTTTGAGATCAGCCTGGCCAATATGGTGAAACCCCGTCTCTACTAAAAATAAAAAAAATTAGCCTGCCATGGTGGCATGTGACTGTAGTCCCAGCTACTCGGGAGGCTGAGACAGAATTGCTTGAACCCAGGAGACGGATGTTGCAGAGAGCCGAGATTGCGCCACTGCACTCCAGCCTGGGAGAAAGAGGGAGACTCCTATCTAAAAAAAAAACAAAAAACAAACAAAAAGTCATAGAGGTATTTCTAGCAGAATGAGAGAGAAAAAATAAGGACGGCTATAACATTAAAAAGATACTATGAACCTAATGACTTCAGTTTTCTTGGTAGAGTATACAAAGTTGATAAAATAGTGAAAAATCTTGAATGCTAGAAAACACATGGAATAAATATTGTTTTAGATATCTAAAAAAGGAAACTTGCTTGGTTCCTGAGCATCAAGAAATGTCTTGTAAAAAGCAGAGAGCTGTGTCAGATGTGAGTGTGCTAGCCTGCAAGATGAATTTTAACATGTTTTACTTTGATTTGCAAAACATGGATATATGTCAGGTACTTTTTTTTAGCCTTTGAGGAGTCAGAAATGGACAAAACGACGTTGGTGTCTAGCAGCATCTAATTTTTTTTTTAAGTCAGCCTTAATCATTTCTTAGGATAGAGTTGAGCTTCTCTTGGCTTCTCCCTTGGAAATTAATAGGGGATTTT